TAGGACGGGACGAAACCATGCAGTGAATGGAGGGAGATAATTTTGCCGGAAACGCAGAAATAAGCCGTAATTTTGTTTTATTTGTAACTCTTTGGTAGATACATTTATAATTTCTATTACGTTACTACTAGTACTGTTACTACTAATGAAACAGATCTCTGGGGGCCCCAAAAGTGCGTGGGCCCTTAGAATCGTCCTAACTCGTTTTAGAATCGTTTTTCTTGCTTTTTAACTGATACGAGCAGCGGTAAAAAAAATTAACTCGTTTCTCGCATTCGTTTCAGTTAAACTTCAATTCCCATCATGCCAATCGCAGGATCACGAGGACAACGATGCTCGAACATACAAAGCAGCAGGTAAACAAGTCTGGTCGAGCTGCTGTAGTGATGCTCAGTAACGGCGATTTCAAAGCGTTTCGCACATTGCAGGATGACGGGGGTTTCATAACCAAGACGCAAAGGTGATTATTGCCCTCTTTATATGTTAACGTTAAAAATAGTTTGTTCGACGCTGTTTAATGGATTGCTCCAATTCTTGGCAAACTGGAAAATATATAAACTGTGACGCTGATATTTCGCTGCGTTTCAGCAACAGTGCTCTTCAGTCGCAAGGTGCGTGTACGCGCTCACAAATGGGACATTTTGGAGCACAGCTGAGAGCTTCAAAACTGCGTCTGTACACTTCATAGTGCTTAATGCGATGGGACCCATCCTGCAGGAACGAACTGCGTCTGCGACACTGAGGAAGGTGCCAGGCAAGGAGAAGGTTAGAATGAAAAATGCAGAAAACACTGGAATTGTTGCCAGGTATGCTTGAATGGAGCAAATGATTAAAATCACACAGAAATAACAAATGTCACTAAGAACATGTGCTTTATTTGCAGCAATAATAAGAGAGGAGGAAATGTGAATCAGAATAAGAAACCTCTTAAAAAAACAGTGCCCTTGCATCCAGGGCAAGAGAAGGATCCTCTGCCCAAAGCCGAAATTGTAAGTTACATATGCAGCATTAAAATGCATCAAACATCCTGTTTTGGCAGCTATTTGAATATGTTTTCATGATCTTTTCAAGGTCCAAAATGGCATTAAACCAAAGAAAGCTAAGAGTCCGACTGGTGGCACTTGCAAGTTGCGTGGGTGAGTGTTGCTTAACATATGGAATTTAATGTATAAGTAACAACAAATAGTAATAATAAAAGAACAAAATGAAATAAAACAAATGGTTATAAATATTTCATTGCAGAAAACCATGATTGACCAATCAGAAAAAAGTATTCCAGAGTGCTATGTGATAAATATTAGGGCTGGGTATTGACACAGACTTTATAATTCCGATTCACAAGCTCTTGATATTGATTCATTTTGTTATATATCAGGAGTTTTTATATGAACTTCTTAGTGATAAAATTGTTTCTACTCCAATTTGTTGCTGAAATTTAAACGGTGACGGTCATATCACAGATTTATTCAAACATGCGTTAAATAAGACATCACTAATAGGTACAAATGTAATGAATATGTAATATAATGCATATATTTAGCACTATATATGCTCCTCTCTAGAGTTATCTACAACATACCTTATGATGGTCATTCCTCTAGCTTTTCTTTCACCATTACCATCAAATAAAAAAAACCACGCATCTGCTAAATGACTAAATGTAAAAAGAAATACTCTTTTTTTTAAATTTTTTATACTGTTGTGAATATATGCTTATTAATCCAATTGTCTTCACTTGCAGTAGAGTCGTTCACTGGCTGCACTCATAATAAAGATCTGCTTCATCACTTACAAACGATAATATATTTCTGAGTTTTGTTTCCTTAAAGGTGACATATCATAAAAAATCTGACTTTTCCAGGTTTTAAGTGCTATAATCAGGTCCCCGGTGCATCTAGCAACCAAGGAAACATGAAAAAGACTAACCCAGTAACAGACGAGCACAGAACACTATTTAGAGTCCCAGCCTCAGAGGAGACAAGAGAGCAGTGGATTTATTGGTTTATTTACATTTACATTTAGTCATTTAGCAGACTATTTATTTTATTTTTTATTTATTTAATTTACTAACAGATTTATTTAATGTATATTGCTGCTGCCACACAGATCTAAAATAAACATGCAATTTATTTCCCAGCTGTTTACCTTCACAGACATAACTGACTATTTTTGTAACTCGTGTGTTTTTAACGTAAACTTGTGTGTGAATGGGAACTTAGTTTAGTACTCGCATGCTGTGACAGCCGCTTTCTGTCCATCTGCTTCAGATGTGTGCTCTCAGAAAAGCTTATATCAGAAGTTTAAACTCATATGGTTTAAAACGCATGATTTCAGCGCGATAAACATGATAATCAGAACCAAAACGGATGTTTTTAGCAGGTTCGAGCTGTAATGGCGCAGCTCTATTCTGGAAAAGGGGGCGGGGAGCAGACGCAAAATAGGCATTTTCAAAATAGTATTATAAATGATCTCTGGAGTATTTTGAGCTGAAACTTCACAGACAAATTCTGGGGACACCAGAGACTTATATTACATATTGTAAAAAGGGGCATAATATGTCTCCTTTAAATGGATTGTAAATATCCACCTCATCCAGCACTCTTTTTATCTTATTTTCTTATCCAGCACTCTCTTCTGTCTTGTAAAGTATTCCGTTACTGTTTTGATGTGGAAACAATTCAGTGCATGAGTGAACTGTCCAAATGAATCAAACTGCATCACAAACATTTCCAGACCTTTTTGGAAACCCGTTTGACTAATTAGTTCAGAAACGAGTGATTCATTTGCGAATGTGGCATCAGAAAAAGGGTCTAGCGACGCCCCCTGGGTAAAACTAGTAAGAAAAAGGAAGAGATGATTAGTTCACAAGCTGCTTGAACTGAGTCAAATGCAGTGATCTTTTACGCCACATTAAAGAGGATCAAAATGACATTTTACTTTTAAAATTCTGATACAATTGTAGTAACGACAATCACTGGATGGGAGACATACTATAAATGATCTTTAGTGATGTTTTGTTCATGCATCAACAGAATTAATCTTGGAATTTAAGAACGATATCAGTTCATCAAAATGAAAGTCAAGTAATCAGTATTGTTGTCAACCCAGCCCTAATAAATATATTGATAAAATATCTCTCTCGAACTATTGCTGCAGCACACAGGGTGAATCAGACCTGCGGCCTCCACGTCCCAAACTGTCTTGTCCGGAGCGCGGACAGGAGAGGCAGAAAATCCAACTGGAGCCTCAGTGCTGTAAAGAGATGCTACAGAGCCACGTGGCCTTGGAGAAGAGCCGTCGTGCTCTATCGCTGCCCTTGGCTCCTCAGCCAATGCTGCAGCAGTTCCCCTCGCAGAAACAACTCCCAGACCTGGACTCACTCCACTTCCTGGAGCACAAGGAGGACGACATGGACAGCGCCAGTGACCTGTCCGACTCTGAGAGGCTCCCTGTGCTGCCTTCCCCCTGCACTCCTCCTCAGCTCAACCTTCGAGCCGAAGTAATCAACTCCATGGACCTGCATCCCCACATACCTGGACCCAGGACAGTGGAGAACAATGAAGTCAGCTATAGCTACCCAGACTTCCTGCCACCTCCGTTCAATACTTGGAGCCTGAGGCAGCTCGCCATCTTCCTCAACACGGAGGGTAAGCGAGCTCCCCGGCCGAAACCCGTAGGGCAGCTAGAGAAGTATTTAGAGCGCCTCCTCCAGCTGGAGTGGCACCAGATCCAAACCATTCAGGCTGAGAGCGGACGGCACATTGTGCCCATCATCCGAACAAGAGGTCAGTCTGCCAGTGTTCTAGCAAACGGCAACCGGCCAAGGCCTCATACTGCTCCTCCAACACGCCTCAGCTCCCCAAAAAGCTTTCGGCAGGGTCAGCAGGCCTTCTTCTCTTCAGTGGCCAGCCCATCGTACACCCAGCTTTTTCGTCCTGTCTGCCCCCACTGCCACATCCGCTATCCACTCTGCAATGGCACTTGCTCTTTGTACGCCTACCAGCGGCATTCCCGTCTCAGCCCCCTGCTAGAGCGCAAAGCTCCCCCTACCAACACCCAAAAGAGGAGCAGCAGCGAAAGCCGGGCTTCCACCTCCGAAAACCGTGCTACTTTGAAAAACCAGCTCCCAGTCAGTCCTCAGGCAGCAAAGGCTCATCAGAAGCACATGCAAGCCGTGGGAAATGTGCGCAGGGCGTCTCATGAACTTAACACAAATGACAAATCCCATTCTTCTGTCAGGAAAGGAAAGACTGGAAGGTCAAATGAGGCAGACAAACAAAAAGATCCACCTGGAGGAAAATGTGGAGGGGTTGATAGGCGGGATCCTGTCGGTATGAAACGCGAAGGTGGTGGTCCTGGGAAAAAAATGTTTAAGGATGGTCCAAGAGCCGAAACGGCTGAAGTACGACTAAGATCTGGCATTAAAAGAATGGTCACTGATGGCTGCGATGCAAAGGTAACGTCAGCTACCAAGACTCCTGGCAAAATAAAAAATTCTCAATACGCCAAGTAGTTAGTGCACCTTTCACGCAATTTTCAGTAGCCTCAAAAACATTTACATTTTGCATACTGTAAAGAAGAGCTAATTAAAGGGGTCATATGAGGTTGCTATCTTTCTTTGCGTGAACATTTGGGTGGCGTTATGCAAATTTTCCCACATCGTGACGTAGACATGTGGGGGCGTGTTTGAACGAAGCGTTTTAGGAGGGCATGGACAAGTCTTAACTTTGAGACTTTAGTCTTTGCAACTTTAGGGATCTTATCTATTCACGAACAGCTTGTAACACTCCAAAGAGAAAGGAAAACTTGAAATAGCATCATATGACCCCTTTAAAACATCTTATCCCTGCTGTTAACTGTAGTTGTTTGTGAAAAGGATACAAGTGCGGTCACATTTAGCATTTTGGCTAAATTTCGCGGTAAAAAAATGTTCATTGTCTGTTGTTAATAACTCACACACAATTCACTTTGAGCTTTCTGTCAGTCAAGCCCATTTTGAGCCCGTTTTGAAATGTGCATGGGATCGCATGGATTCCTGTTGAAATGCTTGGATTTTGTCCATCAAAATTTGCCGGATAACTACAAATGTGACCGCACCTTAAAAAAGTATCCTTCTCTTTAGAAATCATGCCTTTGCATTGTCATTGTTTCAGTAGAACTTCAAAGTGCATTTCTTGAATAAGATATATTTATTTTATCTGCCTAAGTACACAAAAGCAGGCTATCTTTACTTACTGTATGCACAAATCCTCTATAAAATGAAATAAATGTACTTAAATCTAGTGTGCATGTACATCTCTTATTTGAGGGAGGTATGGCTGAGAATGTCAGATTGTGGCACTATTGGTCAAAGAATGTATATTTTTGAGATGAATAATGAATGTTTTGTAATGACTGTATTTTTGTAAAGTGCTATTTACAAAGACTTATTTTCTTGTTATTTATTAAATCATTTATCTGTTAGGGTTAGGGTTAGTTGACACTTAAGTTAAATAAGATGTTTTGTCTTTGAATGTTTTGGAACTCATTACTTAGGTTTTCAGTAAGTTAGATGTTGAATTGTGAATTGTTAGAATTGCTTATGGTGGTTTTGTGGTGCGGTTTGTGTTCACGGAGACGGACCTGAGCTATAAAATGTTAAGATATTATGGTCAAGGTTATCTGTTTTACTTTTTGAGAACTTTTCAGGTGATTACATTAACTTAATTTCTCTAAATATAGCATTTTTTGTTTATTTTTACAGAAACAATGATGGTAGTGGTTTTGTAGTTTTATATGTATAATGTATTGTCATGGCACTTGAATACGACTTGAAAGTTGGTACAGGTTGAGGTCATACAGTACGTGGTACCACATTTCCATACTTGATGTACTGTATGTAGCACCATTTCATTTCGGATGTTATGTACTGTGTGAAGTCCCTTATCAGGCAAAAAACACAAATCTACTTTTGTCCTATCATTGTCAGATTGTGCTTTTATTTTGCTGGGAGTTTTTTGGTAGAGTTGAATGCAGCTATTTTTATGAGATACAAAATAAACAGTTTTCATTACCTCATCAAAGCCTCTGTCTAGTCTTTAATGCAGGAATTGATACGGCCATTGTATTCTCATTAAAACGGTAAACACGGACAGACAATGTAATTTTCAGGATGTGAATGAAAATTTTCAGTCACTTTGACATATCTTCCGGGTATTAAAATGCTCATATTTACACTCATCTGAACCTTAGGTGCATATTGTGACAATTATGGGTATTTGTGGGATTGTCATACATAGTTTGTCACACTAATTTGATGTCATTTGCATGTTGTCATGTCCTCTTCTGTCCTGGGAAAGGCTTTAAAAGCTGTTGAAGCTGTTTCTGGCGATCATTCACACAGCCTGTGTAAATACAAGGCAAACAAAAAGCATTTGTACTTATTGCAGGAGATGTTAGTAAATGCTGCTATAATACATACTGTAACACCTTTCACAATTAGGTGTTCCATTATTATTAGAAAATAAATTTTATTTATTTTATATAGATTTTAATTTGTATATTTACTTAAAGGAATAGTTAGATCAAAAAAGAAAATTTGTTTTACTCACCCTCGGGCCATCCACAATTTAGTTTGTTCATCGGAACAGATTTGGAGAAATTTAGCATTACGTCCCTTTCTCACCAATGGATCCTCTGCAGTGAATGGGTGCCGAATGAGAGTCCATGCAAATGAGAATCTCATCTGAATCAGGAGAGAAATATGCACAGACCGAGCACTGTTAACAAACCAAAACGGTTCTAAACAGTGGGTTTTAATGAGAGCGGACAACAGGGGATGGACTTTTTCACTAGAGGAAGCGTTATTATGGATTTTTTTTTTTTGCCAGAAGCGATGGTTTAAAGTGAAAAACATTTTAGCGAAGGATTTGTTTATTACAAACATGTAGCTGTTCACTTCACAAAACATTAATTGATAGACTGGAGTTGTGTGGAATAATTGTGTATTATTGAACTGTTTGGACTCTCATTCTGACGGCACCCATTCACTGCAGAGGATCCACTGGTGAGCAAGTATTGTAATGCTACATTTCTCCAAATCTGTTCACATGAAGAAACAAACTCATCTATACCTTGGATGACCTGAGGGTGAGTACATTTACAGCAAATTTTCATATTTGGGTGAACTATTCCTTTAATGTATATTGCTAGACAATAACAAAATCACAGAGACAGAAATTAAAACTGTACATATTTTTTTGGGGGAAAAAATCTAATAAAAGAACTAGAAAATAAAACTGATCTATAATTGAATTCCTGATTTTTTTTTTTAAGGTTAACGAGGGGTAGTTCATCCAAAAATGAAAATTCTGTAGAAGATATTTTGAATGGTGCTGGTAACCAAATAGTTTTGGTGACCTTTGACAAAAAAGGTTCGACAAGAAATAGTCATACAGTTTTTGGAAGTTTTGATGACAGAAATTTCATGTTTGGGTGAACTAGCCCTTTGACCATTTACTTTTAAAAGCCCTATTTGGTACCTTAGTTTTGGAAAGTATCATGCACGCACTGTTAATGGATATATTTCTTGTTTAACTGTGTGACATTCAAAAAATGCCTAACAGTGTATAAAATTTTTACAAATCAAAATTGCATAATTGCACTAATTACGACCTGGGCGTAAAAATGCACCTTAATTTCTGTAAAAGTTGCAAAAGTAATGACTTTTTCAAACAAGTTTCCTACTGCAGCAGTAGAAGGTACTTTAAAAATGAAAAATAGCACTGCATATTTATGAAAAACATTTTCCATTAAAAAAAAATCGTACTTACTGATGTTACAAGAACATAGACTCTCAAGTCAAATTTTTTCCCTGGTGATAGATATAATAAAACATACATGACATAAACTACGTGATACGTTCAGCAATAGTAATAAAGGTTGAGCTAAATCAAATAAAGAAAAAGTATTCAAGCTAAAAGTATTAAAAGTACCAGCTATGAGGGATTCTCAATGTAGCGCTGAGCGACATAGCTCTCAACTTGAGCCTCATCTTTCTGCTCTTCAGAGCGGGACCCATCCTAAAACCAACAACTGCACAGTACACAACATAACAGGTTTAGGACAAGATAGGGTGAGTAAAAAAAAAAAATCACAAATTAAAATTTTTGTGGGAATTGTCCTCTTAAGGTTCAATGTGTATTACCTTCCTCAAATCTATGATATCTCTGAGTTTTCGAAACAGAAAAATTCCTTTCCCTTGTGATCGTGCCACCTGTGTTGGGGAAGTATTGTAACAGTGTTGATGATCAGTCTGGCAGACTCGTAGACAGGGCACTGCTATAAACACTCTTCATGATCATGATCCAGGTGCTCCCTGGGCTTCTCTTAAACTCTTCCACAAAGATGTGATACTGGGCAGCACAAACGTACAGGGGAAAAAGTCACATTTGGCCGCCTCTAAACGCCCAGCCTCCCGCTCTAAAGTTTTTCTATACCTCTTCAGGTGTTTTTACCATCAGATTCTTACGGGTCAACTGTAAATTCCTTTCCCTTGTGATCGTGCCACCTGTGTTGGGGAAGTATTGTAACAGTGTTGATGATCAGTCTGGCAGACTCGTAGACAGGGCACTGCTATAAACACTCTTCATGATCATGATCCAGGTGCTCCCTGGGCTTCTCTTAAACTCTTCCACAAAGATGTGATACTGGGCAGCACAAACGTACAGGGGAAAAAGTCACATTTGGCCGCCTCTAAACGGGTTAAAATTCTTACGGGTCAACTGTAAAATATAAATAATTTGTTGTACTCTATAATAATCTGTATAATACCAACCTCGTAGTGGTTGCGGAAGTGACATATCCGCACAAGTTCCTCCATGTATGAGTGATCAAAGTTCTCTCTCAGCCACCCAATATCACACCAGTTAAAGTCCCATTCGCCATCACTGCATAGAGGGACATTAAAGGGATAGTTCACCCAAAAATGAAAATTTGATGTTTATCTGCTTACCCCCAGGGCATCCAAGATGTAGGTGACTTTGTTTCTTCAGTAGAATACATATGATGATTTTTAAGTCCACTACACCAGAGCGCGTAAACTGGATGCCTGCGCGCGCCCAAAGACAGTTGGACATAGTGGTGTATTAGAGGTAAAAAATGATATAAATACTGTTCGGTTTCTGGCACAAACCGATCGTTTCGTGTCTTAGGACATCAATGTGTCGTCACGAGCCGCAGGGTTTAATTTGGATTTGTCTGTGCCTGTTTTTTTTACTCTCATAGATTTAGTTACCATTGCCATGCATTATACGACTGATAGACTGCAACGGTTGTAGTAAAAAAATCATCATATGTGTTCTACTGAAGAAACAAAGTCACCTACATCTTGGATGCCCTGGGGGTAAGCAGATAAACATCAAATTTTCATTTTTGGGTGAACTATTCCTTTAAGACTTACATGTATGATGCAAGTATGAAACAGGGACACACAACGGAGAAGCTCAGCACTTACTCTTTAGGGCATCCTGTATGGTGTTGGTCAGGCCACATCTGTACCGTATACAACTCCTTCCCTCCCTGAGAAGAAAATGAACCACACTGGAT